TACGCGAAGCGATGGGGTATGGGGTAGGGTAAGTAGGTACGAGTACGATGTATCGGTATGTACCGGTACGAGTAACGTACGTTGAGGCCGAAAGTATGAGAGAAAYAAAGAAAAGCTTGAAGGCAATGTTTAATTTTTTGCACAAGAAGCATTCACGAGCCCCAATAGAACGCAAAGACTCACCCCGCTCCGTCTCTTGCTGTCGTTCGTTTCCATAGAGTGTGATTTGTGGTCATCTAATGGCACMGTGCAGTCCACGAAACCGATCGGCACAGAACAAATCCGTGGCATCATACCGCAGCTAGCGAAAGGGCACTAATGCCACGCAACGCAGCGCAACAGAAGGCAACAGAACGCAAAACACAACACAACACAACACAACACGACACAATCCAGCAGCCGCGACACAAAATGTCACGCAAAGCGCTTTCCGTCGACACCGGTGATGACCACCAGCAAGTCGAAGGAACGATGAGCGGCGTGGACACGAATGCCAATACACCTGTTGCCGACAATAAATCGGGGTCCTCGCTGTTCCGTCGCTCACCCCAGTCGAAGACGCAAGCGCTTCGACCACCGTCGCCGCCAAAGACGTCGCTGGCAGCCGAAAACGAGCGCTTGCGGAACGAACTCCGCGTCTTGAGACGGCAAATCCAGGAAATGGAAGAATTCCAGGATTGGAAACAGCAAGACTCTAACGAGCAACATCGACACACACAACAATATCAACAACACCATTTGCTCCAATCATCTTTCTCCAGCCACGACTACCATGGACGGGCGTCCAAAAACACCAGCAACAAAGTGATCGTGGAACTTCCGGAAATGTTCCAGAGCTCCCTCCCACCGCCCACCAGCGAAAGCGAGATCTGCAACCACCGCCGGGACGGTACCGTCAAGGAAAAGCACAGCATCTCGACGGCGGACGATCAGGAAACGGTCGAGCCCATTCTCGACATCGAGGCCCACCACCAGTCCGCGGCGGGCCTCCACCACCGGAACACGACAATGATAACGAGCAACCATACCAAAAAGAAGAAGGAGGTACTTACGGAGGAAACTGCATCCTCCTCGGCGTCCTCGTGTGGAAATTCCCTCGGCGAAACCGATGTGGAGGCGATCGCTCTGATCGAAGGCATTGACAGTCACGGGAACAAAACCAACACCCACCACAACAAAACCTTCTGGAGCTCCCTCCTGGACCGGGCAGGATGGCTGATCGGCCTGCTCATTTTTCAGTCGTTGAGCTCGTTCATCCTGGCCCGCAACGAGTCCCTCCTGACGCATCACTCCGTCATTGTGCAGTTCCTGACCATGCTGGTGGGAGCCGGCGGCAACGCGGGCAACCAGGCCAGCGTCGGTGTGGTCCGCGGTATTGCGGTCGGGACAATCCGCAGGTCCAACGCCAGGCGCGTCCTACTGCGGGAGTTTGCCATGGGCACTTGCCTCAGCATAATTCTCGGCCTGGCGGGCTTTGTCCGGGCCAAGGTGTTCGCGGTACCCTGGTTGGAAACCATGGCCATCACGACCAGCCTCTTCCTTATTGTCTTCATTAGCGTCGTGGTCGGTGCGACGCTTCCGCTGTGCATGGAGGCAGTCGCCATCGATCCCGCGCACTCGAGCACCACCATCCAGGTCGTCATGGACATTACAGGGGTCATCATCACGGTGAAGGTGAGCAGCCTCTTTTTGGATTCCGGGGGCGATTGGCTTGGGGCCGTTCTTTCGATGGACGGGGAAACGAGGTGAGCGGCAAACAAAACACAAGTACAACAATTGCAGCACCAGCAACAACAATCACAACAGATCCATAATACAAGATTAGCCGTGATCGAGAAACGCCCAAGACATCGTATCATTGCATACGGAACGGACTGGTTTCGTTTCTTTGCTTCGGGATTCCGTCCTCGAGTCCACTCGTCTGCAGAATTGATACCAATTCGAATAAATCTCAGCGGCGTGCGATATATGCACTAGATCAGTAAGCAATAGAATTGATCTGCTTTCCCTCTGTCAAAAGCCTATTGTTACTAAAAATCCTAGGTGTTCGCTGACTACTGTAACTACTACTGCCGAATGTGCGTGCAAACAAAAAGCATGTTCTAAATCGGTCCCGAATTCGGTTGTTTTACTGAGAAAATGTTTCCATTTTCATGGCGGTTGCACCATCGACCTGGGCTTGCGTCAACAACTTCATTCCCATCAGGTCTTTCATTTCTTCCTTCGTTCGACAGGTATTCAGTCCTTTCTCGTACAGTTCAACGACTTCCCGGGCTGTGTTCAGGTCCGTCGCCATGCCGAGCTTCAGCTGTCCCAGCTGAACATACGCGGCCTGGAATTGTGGATCGACCTCGATCGCCTTCTCCAGCAAGGTGCACGCCTCGTTAGCAATCTCCAGCTGCTTACCGGGTTCGGGGGGAATGTTGAGGACAGCCAGGGCCGTGTTGACATAGGGGGTGGGATTCTTCGGTTCCAGTCTCATGGCCTTCTCGAATTGTTCCTTCGCACCTGGCAAGTCGTTCTGTGTAAACAATAATTCTCCCTTGTAGCTCAGAACATCGGACGACTCGGGGGCTACCTTGGCAGCGGCCTCGAGCTGCTTGTTGGCACCGGCCGCGTCATTCGTTGAGGTGAGGACCGCTGCCAATCTCAAACGGGCCATGACATAGTCCGGTCGCAGCTCGATACAGCGTTCTAGGTCCTTCTTTGCCGAGTCCAGATCCGCCTGAATCATTCGGAGGTTGGCCCTGTGCAGCAGGGCATCAACAGCATCGGGGTCGATGGCGAGTGCCTTGTCGAAAAGTTCCAGAGCTTCTTCGTGCTTTGTGGCATCCATAAGAACCCCTGCTTGTTTCACCATGACCTCAGCCTTCGTTGCCGGGTTCGATCGGATGAGAAAGAAACAGTTGTATGTGAATACGACAAAAGATGGTCAGATACTATGATCACACTTCGTTTGATTTTTCAAGTTGTGCCACAAACAAGACGCTCTCCTTTCGTTCCAAGCATTTATTCCGTGGGAAATGTACAGCACATTCATAAACCTAGCCATGCAACGTACATTGATCGGTTCTAGCTCCGCACACTTTCGGTAGCAGGTAACGGCCCCGTCCAATTCGTATGCCCAATGTTTAACCATTCCAGTCCACTCTAGCAACCGAACAAAGTCGTCACCCTCCATGACATTCTGAATCATTTCGTCGTCCTCAACCAGTGCGTATCCGGTCAGAATCGCTTCGCGAGCCAGGGCATAATTTCCATCAAAGATATGGCGCCGTCCAATCTTCAGCCACAAACTGGCAATATCGCCGATGGCGGCTGCATCTGTCATCGATTTGGCTTGCAGCTCCTCTACCTTTTTCTTCATCTCGGATGCCTCTCCATCTTTCGCGGCCTTGGCCATCCAGGCGTTGAATCCAGTATACGATTTCAATAGTTGGCTGAGTGTATAGTCAGATGGTAATTGTGGGTTCTCCTTCATTCTCTTGAGGATCTTCTTATCATACGCATCGAGATGTTCCGGTATTAATTTCTGTACAAGCTCTTCGAGCTTCTCCTGCTGCACCGGCGGCGGCGCACTTGGGGGGAGCCCCATTCGCAACTGGTCTCGGTGCTGCTGCATATACTGCAGTTGCAAAGCGCAGCATTCTACCAGAGCCTGATAATAATTACTCATCTTGTTCTCCAAAATCCTGCATTTTCGTTGGCGCGCCTTCGTATGGGTAATATCGTACACCTCAAGAATCTTGTTGCAATCTTCCACAGCGAGCTCTGGCAAATTTCCTTTCTCGTACATGGCAGACCGGTTGTTTATGAGCGTAACGATTTGTTTGTTCAGGGATGACCCTTGGGTAGTGCTGTCGGTATGGGTTTCGATGTAATCCAAGGCCTCGCTAAAGGTAGACGCAGCTTGCAAATACTAGGATCGTTGTCGTCGTTCAACGAAGGATCAAAAGATAAGATTCCCGAAATGTTAGGCATTGGCACCAATTCGATCGTTAAGTGTCAAAGAGAATCACATGCGCGAAATACAGTTGACAAATCGATCAGTGACGAACACGGAGGAATGAACCAAAATTTCGTGTCATCAATCTTGGACAGATAATACAACACAATGCTGTGGATTCGAACACACCCGAATCGGTAGGAGCAGTTTACCTGTTTGTTTTTGAATAATGCCTTCCCCTTCCTGTCTAGTTCTTCGATTTTCGAATGCAGCTCCTTTTCGTCCGTGACGTTTGACCTCTTCGGTGTGTCGTCACCCGCCGCTTTTTCCCCGCTGCTACCTCTACTGGTGCTATTGGCGGAGGGCGTGGTCGGGTTTGTGGATTTCTTCTCTTCGCCATCGTCGCTGGTCTTGTCGTCCTTTTTCGACTCTGCGGTTGCGGGGGTGGATGCAAAGTAAATCGCCAAGCTGATTGTGGCAGCGGCAACGAGACTGGCTACCAGCAGTTGTGTGGTCTTGTTGGATCGGGACGGCATGGCTGATTCGTTTGTCACTCTTTGGTGTTTCCTTTGACCGATGCTTCGGATGGCGGTGTGGGAGCACGAGTGTGCCAAAAACGATTGGAGTTTGTTCCCTGTCCTCTGTCGAGCAGTGAGAGAAAGAGTGTGTGGTGTTTTTGATGGTGAACGGATCCGAGAAACAGATGATTTTTATTTTAAAATGCTGAGCCTGGCGAGCTGTATTCGCGTAGGGTACCGTACTGTACCACTGTAGCATCATAGCTACGAGTTCTTACAGTAAGTACTGCGTACTGTGTACAGTGTACGGTGTACCGTTGCTCGTAATTTTTTGTATCGATATCGCTACCCTACTCGTACGTACGTACCGTACGATAGGCCGACGGTGACCGCTGCGCTATGGCTGGATTAAGGACGAAATACAGTACGATACTACTACTAGTACTGTAAAAATTACTGTACTGTACGGTACATACCGTACCGTACGGAAATACAGTAGGTACGCGTACTGTAATCCGTAATTGTCCGCTACGTACGTACCGTACGAACGTTGGTACTCGTACTGAAGAACCAAGAACCCCCATCTTCTGGCGGGAATTATTTTGTTCGTTCACTCATGATTGACGATTTTCGACACATGAGATCTTCGAACGCAGTAAATTTTTGCAACAACGGAAAACTGGCCACTGAAAACGGACATCATGTACAGGAAGTAGACATGGTCCTCCAGAATCTATTTTGAGCACTCCGTTTGCGGTTCTAGTACTTTCAACTCCTGGCACTATCTGATTTTCGATGAAAAGGGTTTCGTGTGCTTGCTTTTCCAACCATTCTTATCATGGGATGGTTTGATGATAGCGACGATGACGAAGATCAGCAACCACGTGAAATCGGATCGCTGGGTGAAAAATTGGGGAAAGGCACAGACGCGCACAATGTTGAAAAAAAAGACGATGAGGAAGATCCATTGGATGCTTATATGAAGACATTGGACAAAACAGCGATAAGAAGCAAGAGCGGAGGTAATACAAACACTGATGACGATGATTATAATTTTCGTGAAGGTGATACCAACGCTGCATCCATGTCAGGGGGTAGACTGGATGTTGAAAACGAGGACGAGGCGACTGGTCACTGGGTGCAAAAAAAGAAAGTCGGAAACAAAAAGAACAGCAGTAGCAACAACGGAAAAAGTGTTGTGTCCGATCGCGTTACCGATAATCCCAGGGGAGCAAGTGCAAAACATGCCTTGCATGGCACTTTCCATAGGGCTTCGGATCAGCAGCTMCAAGAAGATCAAAATGGAAATGTTGATATTCGACTGGAACAAGTACAGCACGATAGGATGAAATACACGCACTTTCGAAAGTGCCTTCTGCCGTTGAGTCCTCAAGTTTCCATACATGAAAATGGTAGCAACGAAAGTCGTGCAGATCCAATAATAAGGAATACACCCGAAGGAGGTAGATGGCGAGAAGAAAATAATGTTACCTGCCAACCACCAACCTTGGATCCAATATACGACTTTCTTGAGTTGAGAGACATTTTACCGGTGGAAGTAATGACTTGGAATGCTATGAAGCATTTGACAAGCCCAACACCGGTACAATCACAGACACTAGGTGTAGCCTTGTGTGGAAAGGATGCGATAGTGACAGCTCCTACGGGAAGTGGGAAAACTCTTACCTACCTCTGGCCCATTGTTTCTCATCTTATGGTCAATCATCGCAGTGGCGACACCGGGAGCAGTAGCCGGGCCCTCATTTTGGTACCCACGCGGGAATTAGCGCTCCAGGTGGAACAAATCGCCAGATCGATGTTTGCAAAGTTGCCGTTGACGGCACTTGCCATTACGGGAGGCAACATGGGAAGATACCAACTATCGCAGAAACTTGCATCGACGAAGCCCCACTGTATCATTGCGACACCAGGGAGACTCCTCGATGTTCTGAGTGCACAACAAAAGTCGAGACAACAATGGCTCTTGCCCAACATCACCATTTTAGTCTTGGACGAGGCCGACAAAATGATCCAGATGGGATTTTCAAACCAGGTGACACAGGTCTTGCAGAATCTTAGGCCCGATCGTCAATCCCTTCTGGTCTCTGCGACCTTTAGTTCGAAACTCCAAAGGCAGTGCCAGAAGTGGATGCACGAACCGTTTCGAATCTCCGTTGGGAAGACAGGGGAATCCTCCCAGCATGTCACACAACACGTTGTCTGCCTACCGAATACACAGGCCAAAATTGAATTTTTAAAAGAATTATTGCCTACATTCGCGGGAGTGGGCCGAACACTCATTTTTTCTGCCACCAGACAACGCGTAGAAGACCTTGCGGCTGACCTGAGCACAATTGTTCCCATGGAAACCCTTCACGGGGATCGACATCTTAGCGATCGAAAAGCTGCTCTCAAGGCATTTCGAAAGGGTGACACCAAAGTCCTGGTAGCGACGGATGTCGCCGGAAGGGGTCTCGATATTCCACAAATTTCAACCGTCATAAMTTTTGATCCAGCGAAGAACTGGGATACACACGTGCACCGCATAGGACGAGCTGGAAGACTCTCTGCGGAAGAACAACAGCAACACGGATCTGCGTATACCTTACTTCTACCTTCAAATGTGGACTTTGCACAATCAATGATTCGAGCATATGAGAAGGAAGGGCGGCCGATCCCACGAGAAGTTGAGGAGCTTGTTGCAAAAAAGAACAATCGCTTCACGTGGCAGGACCGTATATCCAATAATTCTCAAGGAGGGAGGATGTTCAGCGACTCGTCGGGAGCGAATAGATCGAAAGGAAACCATGGTATTGACAGGGGCGGACGATTACATCACAACGATCCAAGCGAAAATTATCATGGATTGGAAACGAAACGAAGAAGATTTTCGTGAATGCTGTTTCTTAAATTTTTGAGATTTCAATTTAATTTTAGAAACTTCTTTCAGGTCGAGGATTTTGCTTCACCTTCTCTCGTTTGGCAAGCACCACAGATATCTTTAATGTTTCCCTACAACTTCCTCTTGATATTTTCTAAACGGTTTGAGCGCACTAGGTGCTTGAAACAAAATCTTAGCGCACTATTCATCACAACCTTCTATCCATTCATCAATTACATGTGTTCTTTATCATCATAATCCTCAACTAACTTCATTGCGTCGTTGATGAGCTATCCTGCCCCTCCTACTTGAACAACTCTAAGAGGAGTAGCACAAATATTCTTCTGGAGTTGATCATTACAAGAGCAAACCCTAGTGTCAAACTTTTAAGATTGATCTTACAACACCCTTAAATTTACCATCAAGATACATGTTCTGGGATAAAGGAAATACTTGTGCAAGTATTTATATTTTTAGAATTACGTGTAGAAAGTAGGCAATGCTCCTAGTGAAGGATAGGCACAAGAATGAACATAGTTATCATCATCCAATTAAGATTTCTCGTACCATTATTATTTCTTTTTGTGACACAGAATTTTGAAAAACTTTCCATTAATGGTGAGGATGATAACACTTAAGAAAGAATGGATGTAGCGGTTTTTGCATTATGCTCATCGCAAAGTAGCTAGCCTAATGATACTAGCCATATTTGAAAGAAAGTTATGCACTTTTGACCTTCAATAATAACATTGTAGTCGCTCCAGTAATTTTGTGCTACGAGTTGACTCGTTGGGAGCAGTGATCAGGAGAGCGCTGCAAGAGAATTCTGAATGATCGATGAATTGACACACCATTCTTTTCCTGTATTCACCTTCTTGACATCTACATCAAGTACGTCGGGAGATTGATCCACTTGGATCACCTGGTTCTCTTCCCATCCTAGAGTCATGAGTGACTGGACGCACACAGCGGCGATGTGCTCTCTATAAATTGGTTTGTTTTCGACCGGCCATAGTTCTTCTACCGAATTCGCCCTTCCTATGTTTAAATTCGTTTGAACTCCTTTCTTAAAAGTAAAGTTTTCGATATTCTCCATCCTACCTATCGGGCGGATGTATGTATACGGAATTTCCGATTCCTCGAGCGCTTGAATATATTTGTCTCCGACAAAGCTTTCTTCGGCATCGAATTCCGCGTCTGTTTCCACCACTATCAATTTTTTCAACTTTTTTGAGTTTTTGCATGCCTCCAAAGTGTCCAAAAAGACCTGGTCGGAATACTCGGGATCCTGCATCAGTTTGGTAGTTGCCGACCGGGGTTGATCCATGAAGAATTCCCTAGTTTTGTCGTTTGGACCCTTTCCATACGATCCCATTGTGATTGGAAGCGTCTTGAAACTGTAACGAGTGGCCAAAACAGCAGCATCGAAGCCTCTGAGCTTCGACTGAATTGATTCACTCGAAGTCATATCTGTGAGTCGAATGTAGGACTCGTCGGCCTGGGCGAGTACAAAGTTTTTGCTCAAGACGCTGTTGAGATTCGCAGAACCAAACGATGTTGCAACTATTGCTCTCGGTGCTCCAACACCGTCGATCCCCGTTCCGTACAAGGAGCCGGCACGCTGAAGAAAGCCATATGCGCAACCACCCAAGTAACCCCCGGTTCCAAACACTGCGACTTTCTTCTTTTCGAGTGGTTTCGCTGCCGATCCCTTGTCAAGAGAAGTGGAAGACATCGTCAATGAAAATCCTAACGTCTCTCCGTTCATGTTTACTGCCACCAGCAGAAGGAGGACTGTAGTAGAGCGCAAAATAAACACCATTTTCGAGTTATTTGAATCTATTTTTTGCTTTGGCACGCAGAGAAGATTATTTTGAAAACTGACGGGATGAAAAATGCTAATGCTTCTCATTTAAGATTGACGTTCAGCGCTCCTGAAGTGTGTATGTCCGACGCAAATAATAATCATGTCCAGGAGGTGAAAGTACGAGTAATTGGTGCGARTACAAGGATCATTGTCCTACCGGTACCGTACGTACTCGTATTCTGAAGATCCGATAATAAATCAGCGCTGACGTTGAAGTATCTTCTTCCAATGAGAAAGGAAGTCAGCTCTCAACAAGATTTTAAAATAATATTTAACGAATGTTGACTATGCCCTTCCGAAGTCAGAAAGAAAGATCAATAAAGTATCATATACTACTAAGTGGGAAGGTACGTGCTATGGWACGTACGAGATTCAGTCATTATTTTTTACAATTTTTTTTACCGCTGGGTTCGACCTTGAGTCTCTTTTTTTACCCCTACGGCATCCGAAAAGTTGAAGATCACAATTTTCAATTTTTCCAATTTCCTACGCCTGTCTATTGAAATTCGTTATAAAACCAAGAAAGCTGAGCGCAGTGTTCTTGTTACTACATTCCAACAGTCTTTACATGAATACAAATTCATCGTTATTTAGATTGTTAAAGATGCGTATCACTACTGCCTATCTGCATTGGCTATTGTTCTTTCCATCATTGGTATCTGCTGAGGCGGTTTCCCCATTAGTATTTCGTGGAGGATCCGCAAATAGACTCGACCAAGGAAGCAACGCCTTAGTACCTGGTGAGAATTTTTAAACCTTTCCTGTCCAAACTTAAGTATCATCGGCTCTTGTAGAACTCTGGCTCTCATCCTAAGTGTTCTAATATTTACTTTGATTCGTTCTATACGCAGACCTTGGGCAAGATATTCTTCAAGAGAAAAAATTGAACACCAACAGTGCTGTAGACGAGAAGTACCTAGAGCGAATCGTCCAGTCGCAATGGGAAAAGCATCGCCGGTGGAGAGCAGTAGCAAAGAAGAGAAAGTTCAAAGTGGATGCTAGTCGCATATCGAAACTAGTTTTAGTTTCGTTTGGAGCTGTCGCACAAGTTGGATCCACGCAGCTAGACAAGTACGCGTCACTGTCCAAATACAAGTCAACCGCTAGTCTCCTTGGTTCGGTTTGCATCGCGGCAGCTGGTCTTATTAAAAACAAAATTCTCACTGATAAAGAAATCCATCATATGGTCACTAGTTATGCTACGTCACAGGCTATCAAAGCTGAAGTGTACAAGTTTCGTGCGAATGTGAAGCCCTACAGCCAGTTCAAAATGAATCCAGATGAAGCGTTGAACCTACTCCGAAGTCGTTGCAGTAGCATTTCCGAAAGTACTAGCGATGAAAAATTTTATTTGACACGCCAAGATTCCAGTCCACCACCTGGTTGGCTGAACACTGTGGACCAGTACATGGAAAAGCGAATTGACGATATGATAAACCGTTTCTATGTAAAGCGAGGAAGAAGATTGAAACAGCGAGCAGCATTCTGCTCTCGTTGCGAGAATGCGCTACTGGGTTTGTCGGGTGCTGCAAGCTTTTGTTCAGCCCAACAGCTTTCTGGACCGCTTCAGAAAGTTTTCTCTACGGTAGGTGGATGGGGTGGAGCCTTCACTACTGTTTCTGCAGCGTTCGCGAACCACATAGCAAAAGAAAAATTCAATGACATCGCCGTTGAATATTTCGAAGCCGCTGCAAAATTGCAGGATGTAAAAGATAGTTGGCCACCGACAGCAGCTATGTCGGGATCTCCGGATTGGGAGGAGCAGGTGGCCAAAAGCGAAAACGTCATCCTGACGACCATCGAAGAATGGGCGAAAGCAAAAACTGGTAATGAAGACTTGCATTTGAAGGCCGCGCCACCCGTAAAAAAGGATCCTGTCTGGAACCCTGACGTTATATGCGGTACTGATGAAAGCGGATTTTACCCTGCATCAGATCGTGCGGAATGGCTGGTTACAAACAAAAATATGACCCAAGCCGACGCACAAAAGAAAGTCATGGTAGAGTTCCCTGAACGTTTTTAGACAAATCAAATTCTAGTTATATATCGTTCAGAACTTTTCTAGTATTCAGGCTAACCCCATATAAATCTTCATTTGGACGAATGAACAAACCGGCAAATAGATGCGTAGACTACAGAAACTGTTTAAATCGGTATCCTATCGACACCACCCCTAGTACGTCGAAACGTCTGGTGCGTGGGTACTGAACTTTTGTGAAGAACAGACACCACACGGTTACACGACGTATGACCAATCAATGCATTAGTTGCATCATTTTATTTGTCAATACAACTGTTTGTACTATATTTCCTTCTAATTGGAGAAGTATTTCCATCGCAATCTGTTGAACTATCGTTACTTTTCAGCATCATGGTGTCTGTTAGAAGGGATCCATTCAAATTTGTACAGATTAAAAACTCTCTACACTCATCGACCTTCACGCCAAATTTACCGATCTAATCGGAATTCTTTTACTTCTTCATGTTACTCTTCATCGAATCCATAATATGATCAGGCGTCCATCGTGATGCGTTGTAATATTGCGACTTTCCTACCTCCCATCCTGGAACTTCTGACATAATGGTTGCTTCTTGCTTCTGTAGTTTCTTTTCTCTCATGAGATATTCACGATCGGCTTCATTTTGCAAGAGGGATACGAGAGTGTAGCGTTCCTGGCGCTCAAACAATTGTTGTTCTGCGCGCTTTTTGTTTCCGGCGCCCAACCTCGAGAAACCCCAAAAGATGGCAACCGAAGCTCCGAGGAAAATTTGCCATCCCTTTGGACCTCGATTGCCTTTGGTAAGATGGAAGACCTATGTATTTGAAGCGGAGCATAGGGATTAGGTTTGATTACTGAAGAACAGAAAAAACATATGCAATATTGAAGTTATCATTCATAGCCATAACAAAGGCAACAACTGACGCGCTATACTCACCTTTGTATGGGCCCACCCACCCAAAGGACCACTTTCCTGTTTCGGAATAAAGTTTGGGTCTGGTCGTACGCTCATGATGGTTTGACAACAAGGAATACTTACACAGACTCACGACGTCGCACGCAAATGTCGAACGTTTTGACGCTCTTGTTGGATCGGCTTATTTTCGACAGTGTTTGATGTTGTTCGTAGTTGCAATTTCTTGCCGATTGCTGCTTGTTGGTTGATATTGATATCAGTACTCGTACTCCGTGTGGTACTGTACCGTAACGTACGTACGTACGCCGTGTGTGCTATTCGGATGAAGCTTTATATACTACGTATCATACTTCTTAGCAGTACTTTTTATATATATGTAGCATATGTTTACCTCAAAACCACCATTTTTAAAGGTTGAAAACAAAAACATGAAGCCGGCCTAGCAACCAGCAACCATGTTTTGTGTGCGCGGGGGGACATCACTTTAGCGATGTTTTCAGCGAGTTGTTCCTTTTTTTTGGAAAAAATATCGCTTAGTAGGATAGATGTCGCTCACCGGACTACAAGGGGGGTTTCTTTCACCCCATCAAGTCGCAAGGGTTTCCTATTATCGATGAATAGAGGTGCACTGTGACAATTCTCATTGGTTAGTGGTGTGATCTCTCGACTTGTATGGATGCTTGACCAAGGCATGGAGACAAATTTCTCTCAGCGCAACCTTTCTATACATTCAACAACTTCGATACGTCAACAATAGTACTTTTGCATATATCACCGGCATTGATACTGTTGACAATAACCAAAAATGGAAATTTCTAGTAGGACATCATCATCGGACGTAGCAATACCTCTGAAAAATGATGGAGACGACAGCCGAAACAGTCCTACGACTGTGATAGAAGTAGTTGACTGCTCCGGAACAAACAAATTTCCAGTTCCAGACCGCCCTGTGGACGACGATAACGTGACTGTCGCGTTTGCTAGTGTGCACAATCTTTATATCAGCACAAATTCACCCAGCAATTACAACAAAGAAGACAGATATGTTAAACCACGGAAGAAGCGAAAAGATAGAAAAAAGTACCATATGTGTATTCTGCCAACAATCCAAGAGGTGTCGAAAGAGGAGGAAGAGGAAGGCGAAGATGAAACTTTAGGATTTGTACTATCACCATTGGAAGATGATATTTCATCGCATCTACGAGCCATTTCTCTCCCTTCAAATGGCGACGTTGGGTTTAAAGAGGTTCACCTTTTGATCGATGCTGCAAAGCAACGTGCAACACAGGGCAACGAAGAGAAGGCAATTGAAATTTACAAGGATGGTGTAAATATTTTAGAACAAGAAGTGAAAAGGATTTTGAAACAAATGGAAGAGTCTGTGACAAGTAAACCGAAATTTGAAAAAACAGCGTTGTACATTGTTTTGCATGAGGAGTGGGCAGAAGCTGCTGGCCTGATGGCAGATATCAGAACGATGATGTCCACTCTCTATGAGCGACAGGAAGAATACGACAAGGCCATCTGTTGCTGTGAAGAAGCAAAATCCATTTATGAACGCCAAGCAATTTTTGATGAGCGACATCATAAAAAGGGATCCACTGCTCGTGATAAAGAAGCATCTATGGAAAACATGATGGAAGCAATTGATGAAGCGAGGGAGACGCAAGGCATTCGACAATCAATGCATGAGACGGTAGAAAGAATTCAAACAAAACTAGAGGCGACCAAAGACGAAACAAGCAGAGGCTTCCTCTACGAAGATATCTTTGACAAACTCTCGACAGTTCTTTCCCTCGAATTGATGTACCTCGGTGAAATGCACCCTCAAATTGCAAATACCAAAGTCCTATTGAGCATGTATTATATTGAAATTGGACAAAACGATAAAGCTTTGAGAACGATGAACGATGCTATTCTGATATGTGAAATCGGGCTAGGGGACTCGCACCCAAAAACCGGAACTAAATATCACGAAGCAGCAAAATTGTACGAGCGCATCGGAGGTGAAGAAAATGTCCTCAAATCCATTGATCTTTACGAAAAAGCAATTGCTACTCTTGAGAAAGCCGAAGGAGATCATTCGGAAACGTTGGCTTCTATTTTGAATAGTGTCGGTGCATTGTACATCAAACAAACAAAATATGACGTAGCTGTCGAGAGGTTGAAGGATGCCATTCTTGTCATCGCCAAGGATAATGGAGATAAATCTGACGACTTTTCGACTGAACATGTACAGCTCTGGTTGAATTTGGCAGAATGCCATAGTTTAAGAAAAGAAGCATCTCTTTCCATCAATGCATTAAGAAATGCTGCGAGAGTACAGAGAGATAAAAGAAAGAAATACGATGCGTTAGAGAAGGATGTTGGAAATTTACCGGATCTATTAACCAATACTGGTATTAGCTTGACGTTGAGAAGATTGGGGACGAGCCTTGCTGCAGAATTGAAGTTCGATGATGCTACTGATTGCTTCTTGGAGGCTTTGTCTCTCGTTAAAGCTGATTTGGATACTGTAAAAGAGCTGGCCAAGTTCGATCCAAACATTGATCTGCCATTGCACCAAGATGAGGTTGCAAGTGTTTTATATGACCTCGCGAAGGTAAAACAAGAAGATGATAAATATGACGAAGCATTGAAATTATACAGAGAATCCCTTCACCTTCGGAAAGAGAGTGACAGTGATAAGGCAGTCGACAAACGATCTAATAGGGTTGCTTGTGCAATGTGTCTTGCGGGCATGGGTTCTATCAATCTCTTACAGAACAAACCAGACGAAGCTTTCAAGCGCTTCAACCAGGCTATATATTACATAAAACAGGAAGGAATTCCTGATTCGCACTCGATAGCCCGAATGCTTTGGCAGAAATCTCACATTGCAGCCAGTGACATGAAACGAGTAAAAATACAGAGCGAGAAAAGCACCAGCAACGAAATCAAATTGACAACGATAACTCAACTAGAGGAGCAGGCAGAAGCATTTAGAAAAGGAAGAGATTATGTAAAGTGTATGAAAACTTTGGACACCGTGATCGGCATGAAAAGGGATTGTTTGAAACGGGCTGAGGAAGAAAAGAAGAGAGTAGAAAATGCGAGATGTCAACTAGCGGTTTCTTTAATTGCAATGGGAGACACTATGTTGATCACAAATGCAAAGAAGAAGTCTGCGGACTGTCTTACTGAAGCTTATGGACTGTTAAAGAGTAGTGGCGTACCTGCAAACAACAAACATTTTCGACGTATTGAGAAGATCAGGCGGAGTATTCGAAAAATGAAAGAGCGCAGCGAAACCATGGCCGAATTTTAGCTTATGTTTCCCATTTCATCCCACTACCATTTTCTTTTCATAAACAATGCGCTAACATTAGCGCAATTTAGCGATTAAGTATGTTTTTAAATTCCCTATCAGCGAAGTGTTCAATGAAAACCTACAGTAGATAATACAGTTTCTCTTATTCGGTGGGAATTGGCAACGCTCAAATTTAAAATAAATCATATGATGGTTTATCGAATGCCTCTGCCATGTATAGTGATAGGCTGACAGGGTTTTCATCTGTCAGGGTCAGGACTTCTTCCACTGACATGTTCGAAAAGGTTTCTCTAGAAAACTTTAGATCCGTGTCGTCGATACGAATCATTAATACTCGTTTCCCTTTGTTCAAGGCAGCAACGTCATCTGGATCGAAAGCAAAAACACCGGAGGACTTTTCCTTTTGCGCCATTCCCATCACATCCTTCATCGTTATTTCGTCTCTTTTCCGAAGTGGTGCTGGAATGTCCACGCTACAGCCATCTCGAATGATACGAAAAGCTCTTGGTAGAAGAAAGTTCATTTCCCCTTGACGATTCCTGTTAGCAAATGGCGCTTTAGAAAATTCATCACCACCTGCCGTCGAAGACGGCTCAATAACTTCCAAAAAATTTTCTTCATCGTCTTTGTCTTCTTTATTGTTTGCTGATGTTGATGTTTGTATAGGATCCCGCTGCATTTCTTTGGTCTCCCTTGCAGCTTGATTTGTTGAGGTAGAAACGTCTGCATCCGAATGCCATTCTACAAGAATCTTGCCAATCTCGGAAAAGTCTTCCGCGACTGCATCCACGAACTCTCCGTGCAAAGATTCAGCTAAGTAATCATCAGCACCTATTCCGAGAGTAATTACGGTTTCTGAAGAAACCTTTTTGATAAATTCTGCCATATCCATTTTGTTTTCTTCCTGCGTCTCTGCGCTGGCGAGAAGTTTTTCTTTGACCAGCCMGACCGCAAAAATAGTTCGCATTTTCAGATCCTTTGCCGCAACAATATCTTTCAGAAAATCGTCGCCGATGTGACACCAATAAGGCCCAACCATATCTTCTAGTGTTTCGTTGTCGATGGTTTCATGGAAGTTGTCGTTGCTGGCACTACCGGAAGGGAGTAGATCGGAAAAAAGGTCTGGTCGCACCTCGATTGCCCGCCGAATAGCTCGAAGATAAATTCTCTTGTCGGGTTTTGAGACGCCTACCGACTCGGCGTTGACACAGAAATCAAAATAGGGTGCCAAAGCGTCGATGTTTCGCGGATCAGAATTCCCGTCGGTGACAGCGCCCAGTAAGACGGGATTGTCGTTGCTCATTATGCTGGTTCGGATATAACTGAGCGTTTCTGTCACTAGAGGTGCCATGTGATCGACAATAGCACGATGTCGTGCCTTAGTCCACACATCAAATGCATCCTTTGCAAAAGCCAATGCGCGATCAGGAGTGAAGTCGTTTTCTGTTTCCAGCACGTAGCAGATAGCGTCGATGCGAAGCTGTGTCAACGATACGGGTGATTTTACAGTTTGTTTCAATACGTCGTCGTTGAAATCGTCATTCCCTCTATCTGGCGAAGGAATTGTGGCGCCAAGAAGAGGAGAGTATAGCCGCCTATCAGCTTCAAAAAGATCTCCCATCACCTTTTCGATCCGTTTGGGTATTTTGAGTTCCATACCATTGTCGTTCTTTTTTGTGGATAKGTAAGCTGCCAGGGCATCGTTAGCAGCACTGATCGTTTCGGACGTTTTCCACAGTGTGTTGTCCAAGTCGAAGGTGATTACCCTAACAGGGGCTATGGACTTGTGAGAACCGCTGTCTTCGACCTTCATATCACTACCAATGCTGCTGCTGTCACCACTGCTCGTCATGCCAAGAATTTGCTCCTTTCTCGCTTGTTCGCCCTGCTGATACATCTCTTCCCATCGAGTCAGAGATTCATCTAGATTTTCTTCACTTTCTTCTGGTTCTGATAGGCGGAGGTTGGAGGATGCCGACAGAGCGGTATGGAAATTAGTCTGATGCTGTCGCCTCCCTATTGTCGCTCTGTTCCCGAACACGGTTAAGGAATGCCCCGTTTGTAATGATTTACCAACGGCAGCAGCAATCGCAAAGATCGACCTTCTGGGAAATTTGGACAACATTCTTTCGTGTGGCACTTCGATGGTTCATGCTATGTTGGGCATTCGATATCGTTGGAACCAACACGGATGCGAGATTTCGCACGAGGGAAAAAGCGGAAGATCCTCATCCTTTACAAAAAGTTGTACGGTAAGTACCGTACAGTACGTACAGGATAACTCGTCGCTGATGCGTTCATAAAAAATTGTCGTCAGATGTTTCCAGTACACAAGTACTACCAGGTACGTACTGCTAGTTGTACCACACGTAAGGAACCGGTCCGGAATGTGACCACTTTCGGTACCAACATGCCGATTGCACGCTAACTCTCACAATGAAGCGTGACTAAAAAATGAATGATCCGTTTTTCGAATCGAATGAGTACAAGTACGTTCGTACGTTAGAGTACTCGTATGAGTCACACGAGTACGTACTACTACTCGTACTCCTAGTACAAGTACCGTACGCAGTCAAGATGATCATCAAGATCAGGAGCTTTCAAGAAACTCCTGTATGGTACTAGTAACGTACCATACTACCGTACGTATGCACCGTACGAGTTGCAGATACATGACACTTGACACTTGACACCTTTTGAGACAACATCCTTTAATGGATCTGAGGATTTTCCAACCTCTAGTTCTGGCTCAGTTACTAGTTGAATTGTCCAAGCTGTTCGACTCACAAAAACGGCCGAACGAGAGGGAAAAAATAGAACGAAGTACAGTACGGAAAAAAGTAATGCTATTTAGCGTTAGCCATTCATTAAAGAAGGCATTTGCCCTTGCCGCAACGACATCTTCATGGGGCAACCTTTCGGAGTTTGTGTCCACCACTCGAAGTATCAGCACGACTGCCGTTCATAGTACTGGTAGCAGCGTAGGTGATACTTCCGTTATAGAAAACAAGAAAGCGACAGCGAAGAACTTACTATTTGATGTGCCAGTGTCGAACAACGGTGGCCGTTGTCGCATCATTCTGTAAGTTGATTCATCTGGAGCTACTGATAAAATGGAGGTCGTTTCTATTCAATACCACCATACCGAAGAGCTCAGTTTCGTTTGTTGGTTCCTGCTAAACTGAAAAACAAATGTATGTGATAATTTTTATCTCCTCTCCGATTGAACCAAATAATGAATGTATGGTAAATCCGAACAAAATACGCCTTCTCGATCGCATGGCGATGACACTTACAACAACAAAATCAGTTACAAGAAAAAAATTCCAGAGTCAGAATGCAGTGTTGTGACACCTATGGAACTAGGTGGTTTCAAATCGGAGGAATACCTTGCGATCAATCCCCAGGGGAAAGTCCCATCACTCAAGTGCCAAATCACCGGAAGATGCTTCGCGGAGAGCGATACGGTCTGCAGATATCTACTATCGACCTACTCCGACCTCGGACCTAGCTTTCAGCCGGAGAATCCATTGAGCAACGAAATTGCCCGTTTCCATGATATGTACCTGACGACGATCCAGTCTTGCCTGTACCGAGCCGCCCCGCCCTTCGGGCCCTTTTGGACTCGGAAGGATGCACTAAATGAATACTCCAAACAACTWTACGTCATTTCCGATCTCATGAGTGAGCAAGGCCCATACTTGTGTGGAGAGCAAGTTTCGTTGGCTGATGCTACCGTATTTCCCTCGATCGTCTTTTCCTCTTTCATGTTTCCGAAATTTGACAACCAAGGATTGTTTCTCGATGGCGATCAGCAGCGGTCACCAATACCAAAAAAGATCGAGGATTGGTATCAGCGCATGATCGACACGGATGCTGCATTTAAGAAGACCTACGATGAGGTAAGTTGGTGACTTATCGGTTGGAATTACTCTAATGCACTACATTGGTGTATGAACCTTGAAGGCAGACATACTAGTTGTCATTGAAACCACTGCTAACCAGAAAAACTCAACGCAAATCGATCCGCAGATCACTGATGCTCTTGCGAAGTGGGATGCAGGTGGCCGTTGGGATCCCATCTGGTTGGCAGGGATGCGGGATACGGAACCAGAAACGCTCTTTGACAAAATAGTGAACAAGGAGATCCCAACTTCCATCGTAAAGGAAGATGAGAAGATCTTGGCGTTTAAGGATATCAATCCAGCAGCACCAGCACACGTTTTGGTGATACCAAAGGATCGTGATGGACTAACTCGTCTGAGCAAGGCCACGCCGGAACACTATGAGATCCTGGGACGCCTTATGGTGGCAGCAGGTGAAATTGCCAAGGACAAGTCCCTCGGCTTTGGAGACGGCGCACGCGTTGTTGTGAACGACGGGGAAATTGCTGGCCAAGAAGTCTTTCATTTGCACGGTGAGTGAATAATTAGCGGTCATCGGCAGGGTTCGAATTAATTGTTCGGTCGGTTGTCATCGTGTCCTAATGTTTTGAATCGATGCATCGTTACTCGAAGATGACAATAKCATCCCCGACAGTTTAACTGACAGAATTTGACTCGTTATTTTTCTTTTGTTGATACATGAAATCCCTTTGTCGAATTTCATTTGTAAAAGTTCACGTCCTCGGTGGAAAAGAATTTGGTTGGCCCCCAGGCTAGGCCTAGTTCGTTCTTACTTCCGGCAAATAATAGAAAACCTTATTACCTAGATCAAATGCTTCTATCTCATGTCAGTATTTGTATTACAACACTAGACATGCATGGAGTAGTGAATTGCAGTAGGAAATATTTCATCAGAAAAGGAGATTCGCCACCTTGTTTAAATCTTTCTTTAGAATTAAAATCATCGTTTGTATCGTGTTCTTTATGTGTATTTTATTCTTCGTCCGTGATTTTTTCTATCCAAAACAAAGAGGCTGAAAATCAAAAGGAAAAAAAAAGGATGGAGCGTTCTTGACAAGGAGTTTCCTGTTTACGATTGTAAAGTAGGTAATAGCGGATTAAGAAAAGGTCGCTATCACAATCGCAAGCAGGCCACTGTACCCCTACCAATAAGTCGCTCCACCCATGAATGCTGGAGAAATTAGCCAACATACAGGCTGCGATCAATGACCGGAGGAATGGGGCGTATTTCCGTCCCCAATTCTTGTTCTACTCGTCGAAGATTATGCCTATCTTCGTATGTTATCAAGTTGACCGCAAGTCCCAAATGCCCGAAGCGTCCCGAACGGCCGATCCTGTGAAGATAAGTCTCGCTGTTCTTCGGAAAATCGAAATTGATAACCACGTTGACCGATTGGATGTCGATACCACGAGTAAACAAATCTAAAGGAGATAGTGAAGTAAAAATAAGTAAGGTAACGCATGGTCGAACGACTAACATTATTGATCAGGAATGAAACATAGAAAACGTAGAGAAACGATCAAATATAACCTTACCAGAAGTGACCAAATGTCTCGTGGCACCATTACGAAACTCGTGGAAGACACGATTTCGGTTTGCTTGTTGCATCTTCGCATGAATGTAGTAGCAAGAATAGCCAAGTTCCGTGATTTTCTTCGCCAACAATTCAACACGATTGACGGAGTTGCAAAAAATAATACTCTGATTGATCTCAAGTTTTGAGAATAGCGTGTTGAGACAGTGTACCTTTTGTCTCTCTTCAACGTAGGCGTAGAATTGTGTAATGCCACGCAGAGTGAGCTCATCCATGAGATTGATACTGTATGGGTTAGGAACGAACTGTTTGCAAAAGTCCTTCACGGTGACAGGGAAGGTTGCGCTGAACAAGCAGATTTGGTGGTCCTTGTCACAGAAACCAATGATCTGCTCCAAAACGGGTTGAAACTCAGGTGATAACAACTTATCAGCTTCATCCATCACGATAGTTTTTACGTTGCTCAAATCGGCAACTTTTTTGGACGCAAGATCGAGAATGCGTCCCGGGGTAGCAACAATAATATGGACAGTGTTGTAAAGACGCATAATATCGTCTTTCAGCGATGTTCCACCGGTAGTGACCATACATTGTACTCCCATGTGTTTTCCCATTTCTTTCACAATGGCTGATGTTTGGAGTGCCAACTCTCGCGTAGGGATCAAGATTAAGACTGTTCGCAAATTACATGCGTTGTTCGTTCCAGAAAAGTTGTAGGGCAAGGATAGGTAAATGTGCCAACCAATGATCAAAAATGTTATGGAGAGGAAGGATAAAAGTACCTTATGAGTGAGAGGGAGGGGAAGTGCGCGAGTTGTTTTACCTTAACTCAAAATAAACTGTATGTTACCGCAATAATAGGCATAATTCGTATGCTAGAAATGTCCGGGTTCGGGTTTCAGTTTCTGCGAGTATTATCTTTGCTGTATCGGATCGTTTCGTCCAGATGTTCTTACCTTGAATGGTCTTCGACTCGGTGGACGTTTTCTCTAAACATGGAATGATGTAAGCAGCCGTTTTTCCAGTGCCGTTCTTGGCTCGAGCTAAGACGTTGCGATCTTGAAGGATGATTGGGATGGCTTCTTCTTGGATGGGTGATGGCCTCTCGAATCCCTTCTCGAAAATTCCCATTAATAACTCTCTCTTTAGGAAGAAATCTTCAAATTCTCTTCCTTTCGTGTCTGTTACATCTTCCGTCTTGTATCTTGTATCTTTCGTCTGTTCGACAAGACCGTCCTTGTAGGTTCCAGTTCCCTGGATTATGTTTTTCTTGTTGGACCCATTCTGTTGTGACGGTTTCTTCTGAATGGATGTCATTTTGTTCACTTGATGTTTAAACTTAAGATAGCTTAATTGTTTGTTTGTTCTTGGTGTTGTTATGTCGTGCAGTCTGTTTTGCTTCGGTAATTCGTGTGTAAGCGGAATGCTTGTCTTTTTACTAGAGTATCAAAGTATTTTTTATCTCTTTACTTCGATATCCCGTAGAAATTCTACTGTGAACGTCTGTCGATGTCCGATAAATAGCAGAATACAGTCTTCGGAATGTTTTGGTGTCAAAGTTACGAAATTAATCTGAAGTGCTTTGTTGCAGCTGTGAAAGTTAGTCTTTCTTTTCTTGTAATAATATGAATTGTATTATGGAGTCAGATTCGATACTGCCGATTCCTTTCCTTTCCTTCTCTTCTATTCGACAAGTAGAGTGCCAAAGATCGTCGTTTGGGACAGGATGAAGTCACTCGTTCGAAAGTTGTTCAAATGTACAACGACTAAGGAATAAGAAACATTTTGAAGCCGTTCGGCACAGAAGGTTTTACAAGGATCATCACTTGTTGTTAAAAGGAAATCAGAGAACACTACGTATCGTATCGTACGTACGAGTACCGTAGTCACTCTTCTTCTCGATCGCATCTCGTACTCGTACCGTTACGAGTACGAGTACTGTACGCAAAGCTTACAGTAGGAGTAAAGAATATTCCAACGTACGGTAGGTGGTTGCCGTACAGTACGTACGGTCCAGTACTCGTGCGTTCGAGTTAATTCGGAGTACAATGCGTTAACCGTAAAAACCCTACCACGCGCTACTGGGCAAAAAGGCATTCTACTCGAACACCAAAAATTATTACTACTACTAGTAGTAAAGTCATGGTTAATTTTGAAGCCCAGTATTCTACTAGTACTGATCCTAGATAGATCTACTAGTTTTTGCTCAATTTTTGGACCACAAACAGTTCAATGAGCTAAAATAGATAAACAAAACAGCTCCAGAAAGGCCCCTCCTAATGAGATCCCTTTGGGAATATGCTTGGTGCATCTGAGAACTGTTTCTCGACCCACCTCAAGGTTGTATATTTTTGTATTCCACCATACCTGTCTGTACCACCATTTTGTTAGTGAAAATGACATGGTATGATGGATTCCCAACCTGACTTACTACCTTCATTTTATATATTTTTTTTTTAATTTTTCTGTACCCGCCCGTCACTCGAAAAAATTCCAATAACAAATATTCAGCAGCTTGCTCGTTGTTTTTATTTTTTGCTCAGTTTTGTTAATTCCAGGGTGTCATGACTGGAATATAATGTTTGGTTTTGAAATTCTTGAGGTGCATCACTGGAATAAATAGTTTGGTTTTTAGTTTTCAAAGTATGTGACTAGTACTGCTAGAATAAGTAGATTTAGTTTTGAAATCTTAAGTTGCTTGACTGGAATAAATTGTGTGAAAAAGGCAGGAGTTTTCTAAAATGGCAAGTACTTCTGTCAAAGAGGGGCRATTTGTGAATTTAGAGCTAAAACATTTTATTCCAAACTGAAAAAGGTTG